CCCCAGTACGTGAAAAAAAGTTATGTGAAATAAAGAAAATCTTTTTTATTTTAAATCTCGTAAAAACCTTTTCCCGCCCAAGGTTTCAGGGAAAAATATTTTTCCCCCGAAATGGGGGGGGGGGTTTTTACAGGAAACCCCCCTTTAAAGCCCACCAATTTTACACCCGGCAACCCAGGGAAAATGTCCTTCCGAAGCGAACCAACCCCCGCCCCCCCCCCCCCCGCCTCACCCCTCAGAGATTTCCCTTCCCTTCCCCGCGCCAACGGTGCTTGTGCATGCTCCGAATATCTCGTCTGCGCTTTGAACCGGCTGGGCTGGCCAGAATGGAGAAAAGTTGATCCAGCTACGCCATAGAAGGGTGACTCTTCTAGCCGTGCAAACGTTTTGTTTCTCTTGTTCATGGTTCGACAAATTTTGTACGGAGATAGAAGAAAAAATGGCTCGCATAGGGTAGCTTAGCCTGAGATACAGACGAAACTAAACTCTGGTTAAGTCCGTCTGCGAAACAGCGTCCGAATTCTTGTTCCGCTCCATCACCATAATCAGCCTGTAAAAAATGCCACTGTCGATTTGCCAACAACATAAAAGGAAATTCGAAATGCACTTCCGGTAATTCATCGAGTCCGTAGGGGGCCAGAACAAGGATTTCGGCGCTGCTTGCCTGTGTGGCAAGCGAATCCGTTCGCGCAAAAAGTGGAACGAGAGCCATTTTCGTGCGGTCCCCTACTCTTGTTCCTCGTACTTTGCTCCCAAACCGCACGGAAACGCTCGCTACGCAGGCTAAGGGTAGCTCGGGTAGGCGAGTGACCTTTCTACCTGAGACAATTTCTTTTTCTCGCACAAATAAAACGGGGCCTTACTGAGCCACACGAGAATCCGGAATTACAACTAATGACAACTGCTTTACATGATTGCCGTGTGGGAATCCGATATATCAGCTACCTTCTTGATATTTCGCTTAAAATGCTCAACGGATGCAGCGTTTTTTAAGTTTTTGGGCAAGTTATTCCATAACATGGCCCCGCTGTAAGAGAAGCTTCGTTTCAAATAATTGGTGCTTGGTTTGGACAGGGTCAGCCTTCCCTCAGAGTTTCTTAAGTTGTAAGCAGAGTGACGCTGAGAGAAAAGACTTTGTAGATATTCTGGAGCAAGGTCATTCATGGTTTTATACATCATTAAGGCTTTTTGTTTCTTTCGTCGAAGAGATAGCCTCTCCCAGCTGAGGGTGGAGAGAAGGTGGTTTGAGCTCGCATCAAAGGGTGATTTAGTAATAACTCTGGCTGCACGATTCTGTAATTTTTGGAGCTTATCACTCAAGTAACCACTCAAACAGTCCCAGACGGGGCTGCAGTAATCAAAATGAGGCATAATTAAAGCGTTATAAATTTGAATTGCAGTTTCTTTGGATATAAAGGGCCGCACACGTTTTAGGGCGCCTATAGCTGAAGAGACTTTCTTGCAAATCTCTT